TGAAGGGCAGCATTTTTAATAGCAGCACACACTGTCTAGTTCCCTTGTTCCTGCTGTCAGTGCCAGAAGAAATCCTCCTAGTATTATCTGCCTTCCAGGAGATTTCTTTTCTCCAGGTGGTCAAGATGGAAACTGCCTTCTCATGCAGACTGATAAACACTGTGTTACAAATTTCACGTGGAGTCACAGTCAACTCTTCCTGGAGACTCTGTTTTAGGGCTTTGCAAAGTGAAGGACCGTCCATTACAGCCGGGCATTTATTCCTTCGAAATGCTCATTTCTTCTTATGAGACAATAAAACACTTCCTGCAGCAACAGCAGGTGAGCACAGAAAGCATCTTAAATATCTGACCTGAAGTGCTAAAGATGCTTAATAATCTTTAAAGTTACCAACAATATTGTTTCCTCCTGTTACCAGGATGTTGTAAAATGCCCTAATTAGTCTTTATGATAATGCCGACACCTCCACAGCACATAAAAAGGACTTATAATTTTTAAAAGGACAACTCTGGTTGGTTTGATTTTTATCTCTAATTGGCCTATAATGTCTACCCCTCTGGCACTCCAGACAGGCAAACATTAATTTAACAAGCAACTCATACACCATGGGAGACCAGAGAATCGAGTGTGGAAAAGAAGGTTCCAGTATTCTGGACATGTAATTGACTCCATTTTCTTGTACCTCCTGGAAGGTGCTGTACAAGCTCGTCAGCTGCTGTAAGGGGCTCCCTCAAAGGCAGCAGCTTCCCGAGGACTTTCTAAGAACCTCAGCCAAGTCTCTTCTGTGACAAAAGCAGGATTTGGCAAATCCCAGAGACTCATCCCAGCAAGCCCTCCAGGAAAAGCCCCACAGGAGACCCAGGAGTGGTGCGATGAACTAAGCTGAGAAACTGAGTCCGGAAGACTGTTGTTGAAACCACAAAAGGGTTTCAGCCTAGGTCCAAGTTGCTGGTCACACAAAGATCCAAGGATTGAGACAAGGAGGATTGCCAAAGAAGAAAGGATGTCATCTGTCATCTCCTGATGACAGATGTCTCATCAGGAGAACAGGAGAAGCTACCTCAAATCCATCTCTCTAAGGAGATGATGGGCTTTGAAAGGAGGTGCCATGTGCCCTGGGACAGGTCGTGGTGTCTGTGTGGGGCAGGTGGTAGGGAATGGTGGATCTTGTCAGGGAGTCTGCCCAGGGGCCTTTTAAATCTCAGCTCCTCTGTCTTCCAGAAAAATCCACCACTTTGGGGAAAGAACTCAAAAGGTCAGGTAGTTAGTTAAGGGAAGGGATTACACAGGGGTCATTGAAATTTGTTCAATGAGGGGCCGGTACACGACAAGAGAAGAAGTTAGTCCCTGGTTCTGCACAAGGGCTCTGTGGTTTTAGACTGACCACTCACCCTCTCTGGGCAACAATAAAAATGAAAAGGATTATCTAAAATCATATCCAAAGCCCTTCCCCCCTTTCGCACGCCAAGGTTTAGCAGTGAGCACAGCACTGCCAAGAGCACAGATGATGAGCTCATGTTCTCTGCCAGCTGGTAGTGCAGAGACCGGCTCGGGCCACTGGGAACCATCATCCCTCCCTGTGACATCTGACACTAAACACTGTGACAGCCCAGCTCTCCACCACGCTGCCCGGGACATTCCAGCCCAGCCCAGAGCAGAAGCCAAGTGAAAGTCGGGTGCACCTCAGGTTTCAGGATCGATCCTCCCCAGCCTCTGCCTAAAGACATAATCTTGGATTTCAGGAGATTCAACATAAGGGTCCTGATTATCTTGATCCCAGAGTGGGGAGCTCTCACGGTAGATCCTCCTGAACCAGAAGAGCATCCTCTTTGCACTAAAGGAGATAAAAGGCTTTTTCTGTGCATTGAAAATTGGTTTTGCAAGCCATTCTTCTGGCTATATCTGCGGGTCCATATGGGTGTGGGAGGCCTGGAAGATTCCCATTGCAGTGGTGGCATGGTGGGGCGTGGGGAGGGTCACCATATACTGACCCCAGATTATTCCAGTGGCTGTCTTGCTTTCACTTTACCCCCTTTCAAGTCCCCTTCTCCTCCTCTGCTGGTAAAGAAAGCAGGAGCAGAACTGAATAACATTGCTATTGAAAAGCTTTTTTCTTCTAAAACCAAGAAAGCCACAACAATCTTTTATTTGTATTTCCAACCCTTCCATTTAGAGTAGTACGTGTAATGGCGCTGTCGTTTCCCTAGCCACCCTCTCTCACAATGGTGCCATTGCCAGGCGTCAGGCACAGCTCGTCAGCAAATCCGAGGGGGGCAGGAACAAGCCCACGGAAGTTTTTGTCTTACACACCGGCTGTTCAGAATGAAACAGGCTCCTCAAGTCTGATGTTCTGCCATTGAGAGAGTGGACCTCTGGTCGGCCTCACTGAGTGTCTCTGTTAAATCAATCATGCTGCTAAACACATTAACACCACACACATACATATTTTTAACTCCAGTGCTGTGAAGTCTGAAATACAACACAAATAAAGTAAAGAAACTTCAAACCAAATTTTCACTCAAACTTCAATGAAACCTCCATTCAACTTTTCATTTGCTCTTCTCTGTTGATATTTCCCCCTTATTCTCTTAGCCCAAACCCTAATTAATTACAAGGTAGGAGGACGAAAGGAATATGCATTAGAGCAGTGGTCAGGGCTAAAATTTTGGTTTGTGCAACTTTAGATGACACTCAAGCTTAACCTTTTTCTGCTTAAAGTTAATTTTTTTTTTCTTTTTCAGGCCATATGGTACCCATCAATCCTAACTCTAAATTCACTTCCCTTTGTTCTGTACAGGGTCGGATCTGATCACTACTTTAAAATAGAATTTAGGATACGTTGATTTGACTTCCCCTCAGCTTGGAGGCTTGAAGAGAAACAATATTTCTCATAGAGAAATGCTGATGTCTTCAAGTGGTAGAATCATTATAGACTTCCATGAAAATAAATCAGATTATGTGCTGCTTGTGGGGTTATGTGGGAATCCTTAAATTATGAAAGACCCATCTGCATAACCATCACCCACAAACCTTATGTCACCTTGCAAAGGTGGCATAGTGTTCACAAAGAATCAAATGCTTACTTTCCAGGAGAACTACCTAGGGGAAAAGGGGTAGCATGGTATTCTAAGTGAAACTGTGGCTTTGGAGAATCTCAGATCTGGGTTTATTTCCCAACTCCCTCATTTCCTATGTGATCTTAGTCAAGCCTCTGAGCTTCAATTTCCTTACTCATAATATGGGAGCAATAATAGTTCGTAGGGTTTTTGTTAGGGTTGAAAAGATGTAAGTAGATATAGATTTATATCTAGATATAGATATATAAAGTACACTTAGCACAAAATAGAAGAAAATCAGTAAGTGATACTATTATTATCAAAAGTAAAAGCAAAAAAACATAAAAGCATACTTGTCTAAGAGAGTAATGATACTCAGAACTTATGCGAGAGCTGGGTTGTGGTATAAACGTCTTCCATAAGGAAACCTCACATTAAACTATTTGCTTGCCTTTCCACAGCCAGAAACTGCCTCTGAAATCTTCCCAATAAAGATTTCATTGAGAAAGAAAGAAACTAATTAATCCCCAAATCCCTGTGTTATCATTAGGAGATGAGCAGAAAACATGCTAGCGGCATGACTGCCTAAAGATCTACAGAGCTGGCCAGGCGCGGTGGCTCACGCCTGTAATCCTAGCCCTCTGGGAGGCCGAGGCGGGTGGATTGCTCGAGGTCAGGAGTTCGAAACCAGCCTGAGTAAGAGTGACACCCGTCTCTACTATAAATAGAAAGAAATTAATTGGCCAACTAATATATACAGAAAAAATTAGCCAGGCATGGTGGCGCATGCTTGTAGTCCCAGCTACTCGGGAGGCTGAGGCAGGAGGATTGCTTGAGCCCAGAAGTTTGAGGTTGCTGTGAGCTAGGCTGACACCACTGCACTCACTCTAGCCTGGGCATCAAAGCGAGACTCTGTCTCAGAAAAAAAAAGGAAAAAGAAAAAAGAAAAAGATCTACAGAGCCAAACACCCACAGGACTTGGCCCTACTGGCCATTTCTAGTAGGGCTTAAATTCATCTAAGTTTCCCTTTACTGCCACCTTATTAAAACCCATCTGCCTCTTCCACTCCCTCCTGGGCGGCAGCTTCATCTGGCTGGCTCACGCATAGCCATAGGTCCTGACCACTGCCCTGAGCTCTGACCCTCTCTTCAGCTTTCCCCACTCAATGGTCTCTCCCACTGCCAGGGGAATTTATTTCAGACTTTATTTCTGTCCACAGCTAGTTAGGAATAGGACTCTGTGTCTTAGAATACAAAAATGCATGTCCAAAATTTTTGCTTGGACCCTACAGAGCAACTGCTAGAGTTTATTTGCAGTTCTTCCTGCAGTATTCAAATCTGAGAATTGCCTGAGAGCTATAGTGGCACAAAGTCCTTTGGGGACCCTAGGAATCTGCTATATGAATGGCCATCTCCTCTGACAGCCCACAGCTGGATCTGACTGTCCCGTCTGTCTTCTTGAGAAGTTTCGTCAACAGAGCCTGATGACAGTATGTGACAAGACTGTCTCATCAACAAGTCCTAAAAGTCTGTCTTACGAAAGGAAACAAAACAGGGCTGTGTGGGAAAACCACCTCATCTAGAAAGACATATGGAAGGTAGAAGGATTGCAGGGCCTTTCTTGAGAAGTTAATATATGGACAATTAAAATGGAGTGGCTGGGCTTCGATGTAAGGAGAGATGCTTCAAACTTCTATTGCTATTTTCTTCAATGAGGCAGATCTAGCAATAAGCAGACAGAAAGCAAAGCATGGGACAGGGAGTGTAGGTGGAGAGGTGACCCTTTTAAGTAGAAGCAGACCACCTGTGCTACGGAGGTATCACTTACCCAAACCAAGGGGCAGGAACACCTACAGAAACTGAGAAGGCCCGTGGCGTCACCCCACTGCTCTGACGCCTGCCTCACTTTCCAATATAGAGTTGCAGCAGCAGCTGACAAATGGACGCTTTGCCTCTTAGATGCTACTGCAATTGGGAATTTTCCTCCAAACTCTTCCACAGGAGCATAGCACGAATTCTCCACCTGAACAATATAATCAATAAAGTCAATGATTTTTATGGAGCAAGCCTGTACGTAAAGCACATTTAAATGTATATAAAAAGAGTCAATAATATCTATCATCAATTGCAGCTTTTTCTTAAATTTAGCTTTATTCCTGGGATTTGTTCAGAATTCTTTCTAAATCATCCAGAATTATAATTACTTCGGAGCCAAAGCCTCCTTGGGATTACTTTGGACTTTAAGCCAATTTAAAATCAAAAACCTATATTGCTTTTCTCAACCACCAGCTGTGGTTGTTTCAGTCTAGGAAATTGTGATTTTCCTTTTACAGCTTAATTCTGAAATAACTTATCACAACTTTCAGCTGTGTTCCCTCAGAGTTCTACTTTCCTTCTGTATAATTTAAGTGAAAAGGAAACAAGACAGTTGTGTCAGGAGTCTCTTACCAAGCTTTGAGGGGATTTTTCCATCTGAGGGACACTTTCTGTTTTTTTTTTTAAAAAAAAAAAAAAAAGAAGGAATGGAAGAGCATTTTTCCACCTCCTCTTGCTGTCATCCCCCTCCATCCTCACTCATTTTGGTTTCTATCCTACCTGGGCCCTGATTTAAGGCATATTGCCTACAACAGTACTCTCAGCAATGGGTTAGTAATCTTCACCCTTTTAAGCTGCATGATAAGAAGTCTTTTCTGCGTGATCGACAATGGACATATCGGGTTGCCCAACCAACCTATTTCTCCTTCTTTTTTTCATTCTATCAGAAGCCAAATTGGTTCAAGTGTCCACTCCATTTTTTCAGGTGTCCACATGGCTCAAAAAAAAGGCAACCCCACCCACTGCTCTGAGGGTAGATTCTGATTTGTTCTTACGCAACCGTGGTAATTCTATTCTCCTTTCCCAAGTACTGGTTTATGAATGGGCATATGACCCAATTGTGGCCAATGAGACATGAAAAGAAGTCTATGTGGGGCTTTAACATAGTTTTCTGACTTGTAAGAAGAAAACACTAAAAGAGGTGGGCCTTCTTCTTCCCTGGGAGAATTCCCACATCCCATTTTCAAACCTAGAACTGCCAGAGCCATCTCACAACAGGGGGTGAAATCAGCACACGGAGGAGGGCAGAGCCACAGGAAGAGGAGTCTAGGCCCTGATGAACTGTTCTAGAGCCTACCTGACCTCTAGACTCTTCTTAGGTGAGATAATAAATTTTCTTATGGTTAGTCCAGATTGAATGGGGATTTTGCTGTTACTTGGAACCAAAATCATTCTAATGGATACAAGATCCCTACAGCAAATAGAAAAGTTTAGCAAAGGTTTCAGAACACAGCTTTATTAATAACTTGGTTGCATCACTCCCTCCTTTCCTTGTCCTCACACAGACTGACTGCTGTCAGCACTGTCTGTAAAGTGATGGCAAAGTGTATAGGTAGCCGTGCTTAGTTTGCATTAAACTCTTATTGTAATTCTACTAAATGTTTGACAGCTTTAGAGAGGATCCTGTGAAACTGGCCTCTAGTAGAATTGGGATGAATCTCTTTTTTAAGCAAAATTGGCACAGTTTGAAATCCTAGAGGCTAAAAAAGTCCTAAGAGATAAACCTAGAAGTGACAGTAATGATTTCCAAGGGAAGTAGACCACAGAACAGAAGTATCTCTTTTGTTCAAGGCTAGAAGGTTAGTAACAAATAACTACATAAAAAATCATAGACTATGGAGAAAAACAAATTATTTTGTTGGGATATAGGACTTATGGAAAAATACTGAATGGAAACGGGAATTGGATTTAATGACAGCCATGTTTCCTAGAACTATTGATATATATATATTCCTGTTTGTGACTCATATCTGACCCATTCCAGGTTTTGAATTTCTTATTAGGATTTTAAGATCAGGACTAAGACCTGAATTTTACTAAGATTTTAACTGAATCCTCTTAAATTCTGGCACTACCTCCACACGTACTTCTGCTACTGTTAATTAACATTTGTGTAGAATTTATGATTTTCAAACACTTTCGCTTTTTTGTCTTTCTTGATCCTTCTCATATCCCTACAAGATAAAACTTATTACTCTCATTTTTTTCAATGAGTAAACTGAGAGGAAGAGAAATTAAACAAGTAGCCCCAGATCCTGTGGCTGGCAAATGGAAGAGCTGAATACCAAGGTCTTCCAACTCCAAGTTCAAAGTTTCCACTTCACTCTGGTCCTCCTTGCCTCTCCATTCCTGTAGGCTGTAACAAATTTGAAGTTATACTACTGATCAGCAGCAATTGGTTTGAAATAAGAAATCTTTGTATTCAAATATAAACATGAATATTTGACAATTGCTAATTTGGGCCAAATGTTGGGCTTAAAATGACTGCCAACCTCTTTTTTGTGCACAAACTCCCCTGAACCATTTGTTCTCATATAACATTTAGTTTAAGATGTAATACACAATACACATATAGTGTTTCCCATGTACAATGTTTTCCAGCTTCTAATTCACTTTAGGCCATCAAAAGAGAACACAAAATAACTGCAGAGCTCTAGACTTTCGCAATTACATTGTGGAGAGGGAAAGGGAAGAGTGGGAAGAGTTTTTACAACTGAGAAAATCCAGATTTCTTATTAGTCATGGTCTAAAAATGACAACCCCCTGCCTATCCGGCAGGCCTCCCCCCCGACTCCACCCCCAACCCGCAAGCTGCAGCTGGCAGAGCCTACTGCAGACCTCATTTTTCTGCCTGGCAATCCATCTGTAGACCTGAGCAGGGAACCCATATTTTACATAAGCTAGACTGGTCCCCATGGCTTTAGGGGCAGAGTACCACCCAGGAGGGCTGGAATGAAGCACACGAGAGTATCTGGCTGCAGTTCCAGCCCCCAGCTGTGGCACCTGGCCACCTATGGCCCACCAAGAAATATAGCCTCCTAAGACCTCACCACACATGCAAGCCTCCTTCCCTACCAAGTGCTCACATGTGAGCTTAATAAGGTTGCCCTGAATACTCCTTCCCACTTCCCATCCCCAGCAGCCTTTGTTTATTCAACTTGGCCACAGTCAGGGGAGTCTGGAGAATGAGGTGATGAAGGTCACCCTCCATCGTTGCTGGCAGACAGTGGAGCAGCTACACCTTATAGTCCAAAGGAAAAGGGTGTGTCTTTCTGAGATACAGGAGGGGGTCCCTGCTCCCCAGATCTAACAATTGCCCAATTACTTGAATATAATAGGATAAAACCCTTATTAAAGATAAAATCTAAAATACAAGCAGCCCAGGATATCTTTGACAGGGTCATCCCCTTCCTCTGTCTCCCTCTTTTACTCCGAGTTCCTCACAGCATGGTCCCACATCACAAACTGTACCTCCCTCTACAAGGACACATAGTCCAAGTCTTCACCACATCCCCCAACTCTACCTCCCCTGTTCCCAAAACTAACTCACTTTCCCTTAGGCACATAATAATGATTGTTCATGAATTCAAACCCCCAACAGAGTCTTGGGCTCCAGATGCAAATAGCTCAGAGCAACATGGTTAAAAGTTTTTATACCCTTTTCCCAGGAGGACAGACACATTCCATCCAATCAAAGTTTCATGCCTGGGCTTCATGTACAAGCACCAAAGAATTGGTTGGAGTTTATGTTTCCACTTCTATAGTGTCTTAAATTTGGATCCTTGGAAAAAGACCCTGAGATCAAAATTGCCTGCTAAAGGTGTATTGGGGAGTGCTGTCAGGATATAAGGAAGAGAGGAAGGCAGGGTTGGGCAGAGGAAAAAACTGACCCATGGTGTGGTTGCAACAGAGACTTCAGGCAATCCAGATGGGAACTCTGAAGTTGGATGATCCCTGGGAGTTGTCCCAAATTGAGATAAAAGGTCAAGCCTTTCTACCCCAATACCAGCCAGCTGTTGGCCATAGGTTGTCCCCTAGGAGGGGGTGTGCATATCTTGGGTGAGGCAGTTCTCTGCGATTGACAGCAATGCCCCTTGAAGGCCAGAGCTGTGGACCATTATCAGCAAGTATTCCCAGGAGTCAGGGGTGGATCCATCTGTTCTGAAGAGTGCTCTGGATGGAGCAAAACAGAATTCATTATAACCCACTCCTCATACACTTATATCTGCTTATTTTTTATAGCAAACATGCCCCATGAAAGGAATAGTTTTTCCAATATTCTGGTTGATCCTGTTTTCAGAACAAACTTAAGCAAAGATATACATGCTACAGTTGACCTCAAGGCTGGAGCCTACTCATCATTCTGCTCTTCCACCACATTTATTCTAGATTCCCTTCACTGTTGGCTGGAACTTCGGCTAGTCCAAGTGGTGTATCTGTGGGATGACCCTGACCTTCATCTCTGAGGGTTCTTTTTTGATTTGTATAAAGTTATGGGATACAAGTGTAATTCTGTTATGTGGATATATTGCACAGTGGTGAAGTAAGGGCTTTTAGTGTGTCCATCACCAGCTCCTGATTCCCATGTCATTCTCATGCAGTGGCTACTATACTTCTTTTTTCCATTGAAACTAGGTAAGATGTCCCAGTGGATCACCTAGGAGCCTAATATTTTCTTCCCTACCCTCTGTGTATAGCAGTGGCCTTAACTCTTCCTAATAACAAGAGTCAATGACTCATAACAGAAGGTAATTTCTTTCCCTGGCTGTTGGTCTCTTGGCACAAGAAGCACACAGTGACTCTGTAATAATCATAGTTTAAAGCTCAAAGGAGCACAGTAAGTGGCAGAAGCATTCTCTCTTGAGAACCAGGACTTTAGGACCCACAGAGTCCATAGTTGTGGGGAAGGGAGTAGCAATTCCCCAAGTGAGCCACTGGCAGTAGTCAGGACCACTTCTATTTCTCCTTCCTTAGTTTCCAGACCTATGTGTTCTAGCTGTTGAAGAGTACCATATAATGGTCATTAGGTATACCACTCCCATATTAAAATGGATTGTTGATGGGCAGACCTTGCCTTATGACTTGGGGGGGTCTGACACAGCTTGCTCATGGTGAACAAGCCATTTGATATCCCATGGTTCATTCTCAATCTCTACCAGGGATTGGTGGTGTGCCAGACATTGCTTTCTGAATGGTATATATGGTACTTCCCTGATGTAGCTGGAATGGCCAAGTTTTGGAACCCTAGGAGTCCACATGATATTTCCATTGGTGATTCCCATAAATACCATGCTGTTTTTTCCCACACCAATAGCTCCAGTTCCATAGGACTGGCCAGGCCACATAGCTCAAGCAGGAGAGCTGCTTCCATCATAGCCCAGGCCTGCCACAAAGCCCCTTCCTGTACTGGGCTCCCCTTGGAGCAGACAGCCTTCTATGACCTCGTGACAGTGGGTAGAAATGGTACAAAATACATTGTCTTCAGACCTGAACCACTATTATGCTTTTCTGTGAGTGGGAGGTACAAGCTGCAAGAAGTTGTTCTTTACTTGAAGACCATGTCCCAACATGGCTCACACCATTGGAACCCTGAAAACTTAGTTAATGTGACAGATGCTTGAATCTTCCCAGGGTTTATTTCCCATACTCTGGAGAACATGTAACTTACCAAGACCTCCAATGCACCTGCCACTTCTTACTCATCTAGTCGGATTAATATAATGTCATCAATATAGCAGAACATTGTGATGTTCTAAGGAATACCTAGATGATCCTGTCTCTTCAGATATACAGGGCAAGAAGGCAGAGTTAACATAACCCTGGGACATAATCATAAATGACTAATCTAGTCTGTTACATTGAATGCAAACTGTTTCTTACCATGCTTTCCAACAAAGATGTAAGAGAACACATTTGCCAGATTAATGACCATATACCTAGCCTGAGTCTGTGTGACCTACTGCAGCAAAGAAACTCGCCACTGATTCAAAACTACAGTTGGGAAAGCTACTTGGTAAAGTTTGTAATAGCCACTGTCATCTGCCATGGTCCAACTTGTCTGGGGGTGGTGGGATAGATTAGAAAATGAAATGGGGATATGACAACTCCTGTCTTCTTTAATTCTTTGATATCTAGAATGCAGTGTTGATCCCGATTCATCTCATGGCTAGGGGAGGGAAGGCTGTGGCAGAAGCTTCTGCATGGTTTCTCCTGCGATGACAGCTCTTTCCCTTCAGGTCAAGGGGATTTTGCCAACTCCCAAGTAGGTCTGTTCCAGTTACATATTTGGGGACCAGGGAAATGACTAGGAGGTGGGCCTAGATCCAGAGGAACCACTCTAATCTAGGCCTGTGCCAGGATTTCTTTGTTACCTGGCCCCCATACTCCTTCACTTTAAAAGTGGGGCTATGCTGGCACTTTGGGTCCCTGATAATACTATCAGTTCAGACTCTTTGTCTAACAATCATAGAAAGAGCTTATTATTTCCCTTTCCCTGATGCGTTATCTGAGCAAATGGGTCCTTTGTAGGAAGAACCAGGGGAGGAATTACTGCTACTGACCACAGTGCTATTGTGTTGTAGGGCACTGCCTTTCCTTTCTGGATCTGGGAAAGAGCTGAGGTCTAGACACTTGAAGGAAGATTGCAAATTTTTATTGGGGTGGCAACCATGAGCCTCTTAATTCTTGATTTCTTTTGGTTTGTATAAATTAAGCAGTACCCTCATTGGCTGCCCTTACAACCTGCTTCTAGGAGCACCGTGTTCCATGATCTGTGAACGAGCCCCTTCTTTTTCCATAGACTAGCCCCCTTGGCTGTTCTTCTGGCTTTAACTGCTCATTGTAATCATTTCACCTACCTTGATTCAGCCACCTGGCCTCTGCCTTTCAAGATTCTGGCATCCCCGTTGCTGTCAGCGAGCCCTATGTAGGCGATGTGTTCTATAACCACATCGCCTACCACCATTCCTGGCCTACAGAAGCCAATCCCTACCGAGATCCTTATCAATGCTGGTGACCCTCTAGGCTTCCCTGTGGAACTTAGTCAACGGGTGGGTCTTCCAGTCTCAGATAGTATATCCGTTCCAGCATGCCTCCCTTCCTCTGTCATCTGTCATATCATGTACTTCACTCAGCATAGGTGGACCTTCACTTTCTCCAAGCTTCTAGGAGCCATTCTAGTAGCACGTTAGTGCCATCTCCTAGAATCCTTGCTAGTGTGTTAAATTACATATCAGGGAACTCCATATTGGTAAACACTCCCTTATCCAAATCTATGTTCCACCCATTCCTCAGGATACATTTTCATGCATACTCTCCCAGCTTCCGCTGGTACACATTGGCCAGGTCCTGCAGCTCCTTTGGTAACAGTCCTTTCTCCACCTGTAGCAGGTCCAGCTCCTCCCCAGCCTCATTATGATGTAACTTGACCCTCATCATTGCCTGAATGGTAAAAAGTGGAAGTGGAGGTAGATGTTGAGAGAGAAAAGCACTGTCTTATAAGTCATCTGTCTCACTTGAGCCCTCTGTTTGATCTTCAAGCAAGGAAAGGAGAACGATTATTTTCTAACCAAGGTCATGGGCCACTTCTCTGGGCCCAGCAGTTTTGGAAGAATTGGGGAGCTCAAAGTTCTCAAGTACATCTACCCTGACATTTCCATCCTGCTGTGTCTTCAACATTGGCAAAGGAGACCGGCCAAGGCTTGAGAATTCAACCCTCTCTGAAGCTCCACTACTGTTAAGAATAAATTCTTTACTCTGTCTGCCCTCCAACTGCAGGAGATTAGGGTTTCCTTAAATGCTGCCAAGAAGTCTCTCTGGTTTTCACATTTTACCTTGAAATGGTGATTAATCACCCTGAGCCTGTCATTGTTGCTCTTCAAGGAATTAATGGAACTCAGCAACAGTCACCAATTCCATAGTCCTTAAAGTCATCACTTTCCTCACACCCCTCAATAGTCAATGCTATTGTACCAGCCCCCCTTCCACTAGTTTCTGTCCACTCCAATTCACCACTGGGGACAGTTTTAACAACTGCACTACCTCCATCTGCTGGGGGCTATCCCACCAGTGACAGTTATTGCCAGCCATCAGTAAATGGTAACTTATATCCAAAATCCCATTTCAGAGTTAGCTTTCTGGGGCTACATCCAGTACTAATTATATCAGATTGAGTTACCTAGAAATCATCAATCATCTCTAAGATGGATATTGCATACTGAATGTTTACTGGATTATGCTTACAGGAGGTAAGCTTATTTTAAAAAAAAAAAAAAGGAATGTGGTATTGGGCAATGACCTCAGCCAATCCTATAGGGAGCTAGAATAGTTCTTGACAGTTGTCCCAAATTGAGTCAAGAATCCCAGACTTGTGTGTCCTGATGTCAATCACTCACTGGTCATGGGCTGCTTTCAGGAGAAGGGGAGGGTCATAACCCTGGGGAGTTCCCTTCTGCAGGGGACAATTCCCAGTAATAGGTGCACCTGTGAACAGTCATATTGCTAGGGGTGGGGTGGGTACCTTAGCCCTGAGGTGAGGATCTGGACATAGCACTACTTATCTACTATACATGGATACTACATATATCCAATAGCAAAAAGATGTCCTAAGGCTCTTTCAGAAATTTGTTTCATGGCTCTCCCTACCTTGCTCAACACAGCCATATTGGTCTCATGTCAACTCTTAGAACACCCCTGTTGTTGCCTCTACCTGGAATCCCTCATTCCCTGGGTCCTCATATTCCTTCCTCATCTGTCAGTTCTCAGCCTAAGTGTCACCTCCTCAGAGGCCTTTCTTGACCACACCTATCATTATTTTTCATTATAACATCCTGTATGTTTCCTACTTAGCACTTATTATACTCTGTTAATCTTTGGTATATTTGTTTGTTTCCCTTATTTTATTGCCTGTATCTCCCTCCAGAATACAAGCTCCATTAGGCCAGGGGCCACATGTGGCTATTCATTATGGTGTCTCCAGTTCCTGGAACATGGCAGGTGGGAGCCCAATAAAAATTTGTGGAATGAGTGGAGGAAGAGAAATGACAAGTTTAAGAGACAAAGAAAAGTTAGTCTTTGATACTAATGAGCAACAGGGCTCTGTAAAGCCAGGTTGTTAAAACTCCTCTGGGTATATGCAGGACTGTGTACAAGGAAAATGGTCTGACAGGCAAAGTTTGATTCTAGTACCTCTGCTCCTTGTTCCTATCTGTCATTTACACCCTGTGTGGCCAGGTATCTAAGCAGAGCCTAAGCAAGGAGTTCCAGTCTACTTGTGTCTGTGCCAGGAAGGGTCCTGAGCCAGAAAAACATGGGTCCTAATGTTGCTGGGATCTTATTTGTACCCACTGGCTGGTGAGGTCTGGGCAAATCCAGAGTACTTTGGCACAAATCCAAGCCAATACTTTTCCCAAGGGTATTTTCATGTATAGCCTAATGTCTACTTATGAACAAAAGGAATATCTTCCTCATTAAAACAAAACTTAGTATACTTGAGAAGATACAGGAAAAGTCATCTTTGGATCACAGGACATTTTGCAGGGCCCATTAGGTCAGATCCTCATTGACTTAGACCAAAACCAGCAGACAAGCTGGTTAAGAGGCTTGCTGGTCACTGTAAACCATTAACTAATCAGTAAGTCATTTAACTAATCAGTAAGTCATTTAACTTCTCCAGGGCACAGTCTCTCTACATATAAAGTGCGAGTTAGCATGGATTTCGTGGGAAGAGTTGTGGACTAGAACCGGGCGTGGTCCCGGCTCTGTGAAACTCCTGTGTAATCTCACACAGGTACTTATTCTAAGCCTCGATGTACAATCTATACATGAAATCCTAGGCATGATATCCTCTCAGATTCCTCTAATTCAAATGGTCGTTATTCTTTTCATGTATGTCTCCAACCCTAAAGCAGATGAGCTCAAGCATTCCTAAAAGTGGAGCTCATTTTTATGCCAACAACTTTCTTACAAAAAGTTTCAGGTATAAAGAGAATCAGCTTGTAAAACAGATGACTGAGCATTTCTCAAAATAAACATTTGCCAAAGCTAAGTTAGACAAGGGAATTGCCTGGAGTTATGAGCTTCAAATGCATCTTTAAAACTCTTAATGGACTTGAAGATTCATTTGGAGATTTAGTATTTATTAATATCTCCCACCAATTCTATTTTCCACTCCAAATTCAATACAAATGCTATTTTTACCAGCATATTTTTTATATTCATTGAATACATGTAAGGCATCTTGTAGAATTACACAGAAATGTCCTGAAGTGCTTTTAGAAATTGCTATTTTTATTCTGTAGATTTAATTGAACCTGCTGCTATATATCTAATTTATGCAAAACACAAAGACAGCAATTTACTAAACAAAAGTGTATTTGGGGCATAATATTAGGAATCACTTCCTCTGATGTTATGAAATATAGGTTATCAAAATGATCTTTCTTCCCTAAATGTAATAGCTGAACTTTATTTATAGTTGCATATTTTATATACTTAGATCTATGGAAGCTAATAAATATGGTGGGATACAGCAATTTTCTCTACTAACATTGGCAGATAAAGTTACTTAAGTCAATATTTTGGTGATTTAAGCATTGGTAACCAGCTCTTGAATATATTAATGATGATCTATTTCTCTACACATCATTATCAGGATCAGTTTGTCTATCTCCTCTTTATATAGATCTAACTGGCCCAACCTCCATTCACAGGTATAAAATATCTGTACACATTACCTTTTAGTATGTCTTCCCTCAAATATTGATTTTTAATTTTTTTTGTCAAACAGAACATGTGCTCTCAATTTTTGCCACCAGGTTACACACACATAACACACTCACACATCCGGGTGATAGCCATCACATTATGTATAATATCCCTAAAATGTAGGAGCTCTTCTGCATGAACATCAGTAATTTTTTTAAGTTATTTTTGTTTCAGGAAACAGAAGCTGACTCTGACCTGCTTAAGTAAAGGGGGGAAGAAAAGATGTTTGTTGGAAGGATCCTGGGTTATGCCCCAGAATCAAAAGAAAACAATGCATATGCAGGATTCCAAAAGCAAAGGAGCCAGAGTATCTCCTGGCCTTCAGCAAGACATAAATAACTGGTAAATGCCAAGTATTTACTGTGTGACGAGCACTGTTCTGCATGCTTTAAAGGTGTTTTCTCATTTAGTCCTCAAGACAATGTCATGAGGTAGGTATAACTCCAACTGATCAACAACTATAACTCTTCATTTTAAAGATGAGGAAAGAGAAGTTAGCAACTTGCCCAAAGTTAGAGAAGAGATGAGTGATGGAGCAAGACTCCGAGCTACCCCCTCACGCTGCCTTCTGTCTAGAGCACAGCCACAGAGTGACAGCCCCTCAACTGCCATTCTCCGTGGGTCACTGAGATTTCAGATTCATGGGAGAGAGACTCTCCCTCATCAGGGAGGCAGAGCCGCACTACACAGCCGTGGCCCCTGCAGTCGATTCCCCTGTATCACAAGCAGGTCCTACAGAAAGAGGAACGCTTGTAAGCCAGGCAGCCCAAACAGATAGCATCTATTGTGTCATTGCAGTGGGAAAAACACAGAGCTTGGCCTCAGGAGACCTGGGCTGTAGTCCCGGCTCTGGCACTAATTATAGGACTTTAGCAAAGCTTAATCAATCAGGGCTTCAGTCACTTCATTTATAAAATTAAGCAACTGGATTAGACTTAGATTCTTTCCACTTCTTTTTTTCTTTCTTTCTTTTTTAAATTTCAGAATATTACAGGGGTACAAACGTTTAGGTTACATATATTGCCTTTGCCTCACCCCAATCAGAGCTTCAAGAGTGCCCATCAGTGTGTACCGCACCCATTAGGTGTGAATATACCCATCCCCTCCTGCCCCCCACCTGCCCGACACCCAGTGAATGTTACTACTATGTGTGCACATAAGTGTTGATCAGTTAGTACCAATTTGATGTTGAGTACATGTGGTGCTTGTTTTTCCATTCTTGTGATACTTCACTTGGGAGAATGGGCTCCAGCTCCATCCAGGATAATACAAGTCTTTCCACTTCTAAGATTCCATTAGACTTAATAAAAACACATGTTTATCTTCTTAGGAGACACCTCCTTAAGCTGCCGTGTGCTTGAAAACTCTAAGCTACACAGTTTCCTCGCCTCCAAAGCCTTTTAGGACATCAGTCATGAGAACCTCTCATTTGGGGGCAAATTCCCATGCTTTCCTCGCTCAGACATCATCAAGGCCAGAAGAGTGGCACCTGGACTCTGTGGCTCTAGGGTCTTGTCTTAAAAAGCCATTGCTCATGTGGCATTCAGCCTCCTCCCCCCAGGCAGAGATGTCCTAGCAGAATTCTGTCCTGAATATC